TACATAAACATATGAGATACATTATATTCATAACATAGTCAATACTTAAACCTTTATATCATAAGAGAACTACTTCTCAAGTAACCCTAAATCATACTTGTGTAATGCATAGATAAGACCCCATAATCCCATCCATACTAAGTACCACTTTTAGACCATCATAATCATACTTACCATCCTTTGATCTCGTCCTTAGCTTAATTCTCATATACAAGGGAATCTCTCACCTTTAGTCAATCATATCATGGAATCATAAAGGACAAGCAGAATCACCTCTAGTCATACATATAATGGAAGGCCTATCAAGCTACAAACCATACAATTCATTGTTCATGACATAATTCATATTAAGGAATCATAGGTATTCGCCTCCATGTTCATTTTAAGGTGTAATGTAGGTATTCACCTCCACATTACTTTATAAGGATCATAGGTATTTGCCTCCATGTCCGTCATGATTAGATATAGGTATTCGCCTCCATATTATTTTATAGGCTAATGGGTGTTCACCTCTTGCCTTGCCTTAGAAGTCATATATAAGTGTAGTCACCACACATTTCTCATATCTTGAAATGGGAAATCACCTCATGTTCATACATGTAGGAATAAGGGAATTAACCTCACATTTCACTCATACAAAGGTCTTTGTGGAATCACCACAAGCCTCATCACATTTCATAGTCCTTTGAATTAGATTCATTTTAGGTGAGCCAACCTTTCAACCTAGAATCATTCTATGTGAGAGAACCTTTCATATCATATCATAGTCATGCATGGTGTGTATATGAGAATATCATTTCAACAACACAACAACATATCATGATCATAGACACTTCACTCTCAAAGTATTCACAAACCATATTCATAGATTCATAAAACATGCATAATGTCATATCTTGCCCTCCTAAGGGTCAAAGCTCATACCAAATCAACACATATAGAATTACTACATTATACATGGATTCCAACATAACTCAAGTGATTCTATCATTTCATACAATATATCATTCATAAGGTAGATTAGGTAGGGAAAGGCCTTCCACCACAATTCTATTCATTAGTCTTCTATTCTCTTATAGATTTTACTCTCAAAGCCTTAACATAAATAATTCATCTTATTAGCTTTACCTTAAAAACCCTAGAAGTCAACATTCATGACTACAAGCCCTACTCTCAAAGCTTTTACTTCTTACAATAATGATACATATCTAGATCACCAGACATTCTAGCCACAAGCTTCATTCCTAAGCAATTCTAGTCATAATTTAATCATAACATCATGATTCACTACAAATTTATTCATAAACAATCAATATCCACTCAATCGGATTCATACGCAACTTAACCCATAATATTGGAAGGAACCCTAACTTGAATTGGGGATTTCATCTTCACAATTGGGGGAATTCTAGGGGACTCCAGGGATGGAAGAATCCATGGATGAATAATCTAGCATACCTTGCAGACAAAGCCCTCACAAAGCTTGAAATATTGGAGGAATTCGACCTAGCTTGACCCTTCTTCTTCTTCTTCTTCACTTTCTAAAGAGAGAATTTCTTGGAGGGAATTGGGTTCTTTTTGGTGAATTGAAATAATGACTAGGATCAATGTATTTAGGGGTCTAATAGCTTTATATAGGTGGCCTAAACTAATATAAACTGACACCTCTTAACCCCTAATTAATTACAGAAAGTACCATAAGCCATCACTTAAACCGACTTAAAGGACCATACTGCCTCACCCATGAGACCACGTCCACCGGTCGTGGGTGGACCCACAGGGCGTGCTGGTCTTTCGTGGGTGGTTGCCTACAAGTCCTCTTTTGGGACCCTGTCCCACGAGGCATGGACCCCCTACGGGGTGTGGGTCCCCTCGTGGGTGCATTGCCTTGGGGCAGATTCTAGGGGGGTTTTGCTAGGGTCCTTTTTAGGGACCCTTGGTTAGTCCTTATGGGGTCTTACCTTGATTCCAACATAACTCAAGTGATTCTATCACTTCATACAATTTATCATTCATAAGGTAGATTAGGTAGGTAAAGGCCTTCCACCACAATTCCACTCATTAGTCTTCTATTCTCTTATAGATTTTACTCTCAAAGCCTTAACATACATAATTCATCTTATTAGCTTTACCTTCAAAACCTTAGAAGTCAATATTCATGAATACAAGACCTACTCTCAAAGCTTTTACTTCTTACAATAATCATACGTATCTAGATCACAACACATTCTAGTCACAAGCTTCATTCCTAAGAAATTCTAGTCAAAATTTCATCATAACATCATGATTCACTACTAATTTATTCATAAACAATCAATATCCACTCCATCGGATTCATACTCAACTTAACCCACAATATTGGAAGGAACCCTAACTTGAATTGGGGATTTCATCTTCACAATTGAGGGAAATCTAGCGGGCTCCATGGATGAATAATCTAGCATACCTTGCAGACAAAGCCCTCACAAAGTTTGAAATATTGGAGGAATTTGACCTAGCTTGACCCATCTTCTTCTTCTTCTTCTTCACTTTCTAGAGAGAGAATTTCTTGGAGGGAATTGGGTTCTTTTTGGTGAATTGAAATAATAACTAGGATCAATGTATTTAGGGGTCTAATAGCTTTATATAGGTGGCCTAAACTAATATAAAATGACACCTCTTAACCCCTAATTAATTACAGAAAGTACCATAAGCCATCAGTTAAACCGACTTAAAGGACCATACTACCTCACCCATGAGACCACGTCCACCGGTCGTGGGTGGACCCACAGCGCGTGCTGGTCTTCGTGGGTGGTTATCTACAAGTCCTCTTTTGGGACCCTGACCCACGAGGCATGGATCCCCTACGGGGTGTGGGTCCCCTCGTGGGTGCATTGCCTTGGGGCAGATTCTAGCGGGGTTTTGCTAGGGTCCTTTTCAGGGACCCTTGGTTAGTCCTTATGGGGTCTTACCTTGATTCAAATATAACTCAAGTGATTCTATCACTTCATACAATATATCATTCATAAGGTAGATTAGGTAGGTAAAGGCCTTCCACCACAATTCTACTCATTAGTCTTCTATTCTCTTATAGATTTTACTCTCAAAGCCTTAACATATATAATTCATCTTATTAGCTTTACCTTCAAAACCCTAGAAGTCAACATTCATGACTACAAGCCCTACTCTCAAAGCTTTTACTTCTTACAATAATCATACATATCTAGATCACAACACATTCTAGTCACAAGCTTCATTCATAAGAAATTCTAGTCACAATTTCATCATAACATCATGATTCACTACTAATTTATTCATAAACAATCAATATCCACTCAATCGGATTCATACTCAACTTAACCCACAATATTGGAAGGAACCGTAACTTGAATTGGGGATTTCATCTTCACAATTGAGGGAATTCTAGCGGGCTCCATGGATGGAAGAATCCATGGATGAATAAGCTAACATACCTTGTAGACAAAGCCCTCACAAAGTTTGAAATATTGGAGGAATTTGACCTAGCTTGACCCGTCTTCTTCTTCTTCTTCACTTTCTAGAGAGAGAATTTCTTGGAGGGAATTGGGTTCTTTTTGGTGAATTGAAATAATGACTAGGATCAATGTATTTAGGGGTCTAATAGCTTTATATAGGTGGGCTAAACTAATATAAAATGACACAACTTAACCACTAATTAATTCCGCAAAGTACCATAAGCCATCACTTAAACCGACTTAAAGGACCATACTGCCTCACCTATGAGACCATGCCCACCGGTCGTGGGTGGACCCACGGGGAGTGCTATTCTTCCGTGGGTGGTTGTCTGCAAGTCCTCTTTTGGTACCCTGACTCACGAGGCATGGACCCCCTTACGGGGTGTGGGTCCCCTCGTGGTTGCATTGCCTTTGGGTAGATTCTAGGGGGGCTTTGCTAGGGTCCTTTTCAAGGACCCTTGGTTGGTACTTGTGGAGTCGTACCTTTACATTTTCACCCCTAACCCTTCATTCCAATTATGGGAAGTCAAAACTATGACCTTAACCCTCTGGTCAAGCTCTAATTGACCTACTAAACTACGGGGTGTTATATGTAGGGTCCGACAGTCAGGTTTCTCAGTTTTGTGGCTAGTGGTTGATTTTAAGATTCTCGAGCGTTGGTGAGTCCTCGTGCTTCGAGGATAGAATTTCATTTTTTTAGTTTACTTCTTGTATTTCAGTTTTGGATGTGATGTATGGGCTAGGCCCAATTTCATTATATTGTACTAGATTGCTATTGAGGCATGTATTTTAGACTTCTGATTTTCTTTTATAAAACTATTGGACTTGGTCTATTGCTGTATTTCTATTGTTCTATTTCTTATGTTATGAAGGTTAAGTGGCTTGTATGGGGTCTTTCGGGGTCCTATACACCATGTTACATCTAGGGGTATCCTTGGGTCGTGACAATGCCGCCAGAGGATTGGTCAAACCAAACGACATCACCAAAAACTCATAAATGACAATACCGGGTTCTAAAATCCATTTTTGGAATATCATCATTTTTCACCCTCAATTGGTGATAACTCGCCCTAAGTTCAACCTTAGAGAAGTAAGTCGCTCCTTGGAGTTGATCAAATAAATTATCTATTCTTGGAAGAGGATACTTATTCTTAATGGTCACCTTGTTCAATTGTCGGTAGGTAGTTAATACACATACAAAGGGAACCATCTTTCTTCTTAACAAACAAAAGTGGAGCACCCCACGGAGAGATATCGGTCAGATGAAACCCTTATACAACAAATCATTTAATTGTTCCTTTAATTCCTTAAGTTCTATGGGAGTCATTCTATAAGGAGGAATGGAAATAGGCAGTGTATCTGGAAGAAGGTCAATACCAAAATCTACTTCCCTTTTGGGAGGAATACCGGGTAAATCATCTAGGAACATTTTCGGATACTCATTAACAACGGGGAGTGACTCAAGAGTAAGGGTTTCGAAATCCATATCCCTCACCCTAATTAGATGGTACATGCAACCCTTAGAAATCATTCTTCTATCTTTAAGACAAGAAATAAATCGACCTTTCGGCATAGCATTTCCCCACTCCACTCTAGGATACGCTCATTCGGATACTGAAATCTGACTACCAGGGTTCTACAATCAATAGAAGCATAACAACAGTGCAGCCAATGCATACTCAATATAACATCGAAATCTAGCATGTCAAGCTCTACCAAATCTACAAGAGTAACTCTATGGGATAAGGAAACGAGACACTTTTTATAGACCCTCTCAGCCACAATAGAATCACCAATAGGAGTAGAGACAAAAAAGGGATCTAACAACACATTAGGGAGCATATCAAATCTCATAGCTACATATGGTGTCGCAAAAGACAAGGTAGCACCGGGATCAAGTAAAGCATAAACATCAAGTTGAAAAACTTTCAACATATCGATAACCACATCGGGAGAACCCTCTTGTTCACCACGAGTCTGAAGAGCATAAAACCTATTTTGCTTAGTGGCATTCGAACCCGAACCACTTGGACCGGATGAAGGATAGGGTTGAGCCCTACGAGGACTATCTCCCTCATTCTTCTCAACTGAAGGACAATTCCTCATCTTGTGGTCCATCTTACCACAACCAAAACAAGTGTTGGAACCCTCTAGACATTTACATTCATGATTTCTTCCACACTCAGCACAATTTGGCAATGAAGACCCACCACCACCTCCTTGAGGTTTAGGGTTAGACACCCTCTTTTTGTGAAACTTAGGAGAATTAGAGGAACCTTGCCCGGAAAACCTTTGTCGATACCTAGGACGACCATGTCCATCAGACCTAGCATGAGAGAAATTACCATCACCGATTCTAGACCTCTTAGTCTCTCTAGACCTCTCTTTAAGTTTCTCCTCTTCAATTTGTTGGGCATGAATCATAAGACGAGCAATATCTATGCCATGGAAAAGCATAGCCATGCAGCACTCTTTCACTACCAATTCAGACACATCCAAAATGAACTTGTTCATCCTTACCCTAAAGTCGGCAACTATAAAGGAGCATATTTTGACAATTAAGTGAACCTCAAAGCCTATTTTTTCACGCTCATATTTCCTTATCGGAGATTGATAAACTCAAGCACTTTAGCCTCCATCATCTCAAGAGGAAAGATCTTATCAAGAAAAGTGGACTTGAACATTTCCCATTCTATGGGACCCACTTCTACCGATCTTGCTTCCTTCCATTGGTTGAGCCAAATTTGAGCAACACCTTTAAGTTGATAAGCGGCCAATTACGTCTTTTCCATTGGAGTCACTCCCATAATAGTCAAGATATTGTAAACCTCATCAACAAACTCTTGAGTATCTTCCTCAACCTTAGAACCATAGAATTTTGGAGGATTCATCCTAGTGAAGTCCCTCACTCTAGATGTCGATGTACCCATATTTGATTTCACAACATCCCTATTGTCTTGGGCTGTCACAGCTTGAGCCAACACTTTAAAAGCAGTCCTAAACTCTGCATTAGTCACTTGCTCTGCAAAAGGGTAAACTGGAGCTTGAGGAGCTTGAGAATGAGCTTCTTGACCAATATTTTCTCCCTCGATCCTTCTAGCAAAAGCTCTTCGAGTAGTCATAGCATGTAGACAATCAGATAAGGATTAGGAGAGAGACCTTATAGAGTTAAACTCTATATCATGACTTAGAGAAATGAAGAAGTGAAGTTTTCTAAACATCATGTAGCATCTCATTCATAAATGTGGCATGCTTCACACTATGAACAACACTCTACTAGACGTGGTTTTGAGACATCCTAGAACCTTTCTAAACCTTGTGCTCTGATTACCAAGTTTGTCACGACCCAAGGGTACACCCTAGACGTAACATGGCATATAAGACCCCGAGAGGCCTCATATAAGCCACTTAGTCTTCATAGTCAAGATAATAGAAAATCGGTAGAATTTAAAACCCTTTCAACAACAACAAGTATTTATAAAATGAAACGGAAGTCTCATACAATTGTCTCAAAACAATCTAATACAAAGATTCTTGGGACATAGCCCATACAATAATTTTCAAAACTTAAAATCAAAATAACATATGGAAATGGTGGCCAAATCCTTGAATGCTATGAGGACTTACCAATCTTCAACCTTTCCTCTACTAGAGATCCTAGCCACGGGGATGAGAGTCGGGAACATCGGACCCTACATTTGGATAAGAAATGCAGGCAAAAGTATCCATTAGTACAAGAATGTACTAAATATGATAGCTTGCATAAACATCAACATAAACATTAAAGTTAGACAACATAAGTCATAAGCATAATCAATGCACATAATAGCTCATTTAAACATAAAAGGAATACTTCTTGGAGTAACCTCAAAGCATACTTAGCCAAGACATGATTAATCCTCCACTAGTCTTACTCATCATAGAATGCAACCTTAGGCAATCATCAAATCTCATTACGTATCATAACATAATTAACTTATCTTTTATAGACATGGGGAATCACCTCTAGCCTCGCTATAAAGGCTCATGGTGTAACACCCTGTATTCTACGTGTACTAGTTCTATTTATATGATGCTTATAAATTGCCGTGTGGTATAGTTATGGAATTGATTTCCTATGTGACTAGTGACAATAGAATAGGTTTAAAGTGAACTGCCCATAGATTTTGATGTGACCCGATTAAGTTGACGTCAATGGAAGTATTTAAACTTGAGATCATAAGTATTTGAGTCTAAAGTTTAAATTGACATAGTGTATATAAGTTTTAAGTTAAATTAAAGGTATTAAGGTCTAGAAATAGAATAAGATATTCAGGTGCTTGATTGACTACACTAAGCTAGTATGTGACAAGTAGGTGCATCACCTACTTTGACTTATTGACCAGCCCAAAGGACAAAGTAGGTGCATCACCTACTAAGACTCTTTTGACCATGTTATTGGGCCAAGTGCACTACCACCTACTTGCATCAGTCTGGCCAAAGTTGATTAGAAGAATAAGAGGAAAATGGACAGCCAAGGCCCAATCTTTCCAAGTCCACAAGAAATAATTTGAATGGAAAATTAGGTGCATCACCTACTTAAATGTGTGGCCTAAATTAAAGACACACGTTGGCTACAAATGAAGTACAGGAAAGGTGGCAAAAGGCCCAATGTTCTTAAGTCCAAAAAGGCCCAAGTGAAAAGTCCAAGTAGGTGGGTCACCTACTTGAAAAATTATGGCCTAAAATGAGCGAGAAAGTCGGCCAAAGCAGGTCCCTTTAAAAGGGATAGATATCAGCTTTTTCCAACCATTTTTACTTTGATAAAAAATCTGATTTCTAGAGCTTTCTCTCTTCTCTCTCTTAGCTTCATACAACAGCCATTAAATACCATTAGGGTTCTTGAACATTAGGGAGTTCAAGCTATTGGAAGGTATAATTTAAGACAAGTTAAGGAGTAGAACCTTTACCTTGAAGAATCCAAGTCTTAGCAAGTGGTAGTTCTGTCAGGAAAGGTAAGCTACTGCAATTTTCTCCCTCTTGTGCTTGAGTAAATTAGGACACTTGGTATGTGTTAGTGAGTTGGAAATTGTTACTTTTACATGGTGTAATATTGGGGAGGATGTTCTGGTGATTAGTGCGTACTGGGACAGCCATGGAGGGGAGTCCTCTTTAAATTCAGTTATGAGCTTGTTTGAGCACTTTAAAAGTAATGTTAGCTCTTCAAGTCTTGGTGATCAGAAAAACCATGATACATATTGCTTCTGTTACATTATTATGTTTAAGGATTCTTTTATGTATGTTATGATAAGGGATGTGACTGGATGTGCGGGAAAGTTATGGAGACATTAAAGGACTTAAATATTGCAGGGAGTTTAGGGAAGGACCTGATACGAAGGTTGTATAGTATATAGACGCAATTAAAGGGAAAGGGAAGGAAAGAAAACACTGGCTAGATAAATTACATGCTTACTGCTTTGTTACTATATGGGTGAGATCAAGTAGCTCAAATTGATTGATTAGCTACTATTACTAGTCTTACAACTTATGTTATTGTAGATTAGTAATCTGAAGAGAAGGAGCTTAAGTCATATGTATTGAATTGTATAGCAAGGTATGTAAGGCTATTCGATTTCCTATTTCTTTGGCATGGATCCAACACTTGCATTACAACAAGTAAGGTTTCTAAGTACCCTTGGTAGTGACTGATCCATAGTTGCAGTTCCTACTCCCTAGAGTAGTAAAGTGAGTACTCTAATTTAAGTTTGGTACTAAATGTACGTGCTTACTCTACCAAGTATTAGTATGCAAGGTTTAAACTTGTTTCATCGTCAAAGTACCCTTGGCACGTATTTCCCTTATATTAATCAAAATGATCCTAGATTACACATGGTACATATGTTTATATGTTGGATTTACAATCTGCCCATATCATGCCAACTTGCTTCAATTATCTATATATATATGTCATTTTTTCACATGTTCATATGTTCCCTTTATTGGTTATTACTCTCATTGTGTTAGACTATAATGTTACCTCACAAGATCCCAACTTGCTCTATTGTACATTTTATATGTACTTACTTGGAATATGTATCCGTCCTAAAGTTGAATTTGCCCACGTTCTCCCTTGGTTCCACGTTCACGTATACCTTGTCTTTGATATTTGTTAGTGAGTATTTGGCTATCATACAGAGTTCAGATCTATTGGTTGAATGTTAAATGTCTTCACTTTATATGTGCTTCAATTTGAGATGTCAAAAAGCTTACTGAGTTATATAAGCTCCTAGGTATTACGCGTTCATGTCACATTTGCTTCCCATGTCATTGATATTATTGTAAGTCCATATTCATATGTCTTCTGTTACTGGTCCATAGTTCCAAATCTCAACAATAATTATGACCACCAAAACAACAATCTCAAAAGAGTTATGAACATCAAAACAACAATCTCAAAGATTAAAGAATCTAAGTGAAGCAATATATATAATTATGGGTGGCAGCCCAAGGGCAAATGCCTAGCATGGGTCAATCCCAATTGGTATGGAAGGGTGGCAGCTCAAGGGCGAAAGCCTAGCATGGGCCGATCCCAATTGGTATAAGAGGGTGGCAGCTCAGGGGCGAAATCCTAGGATGGGCCGATCCCAATTTGTGGAATTATGAAGACACCATCCCAGGGGTTAAAATGCCTAGCATGGGTCATCCTCTTCTACCGTTGATCGCCGGTCATTTGTATCATATGTCTTATAAATATTATAATGCAAAAAAAAGTAAAGAAAAAAATGTAACATACACGATTCCACAAGTATAAGCAAAGGTGGTCTCTAATCCTTATCTATTGGTATTTGGTTTCACTTGAGCTCTCATTTTACATATAGTTGTATTATGCCTTACTTATTCAGTACATTCTTTCATATTGACGTCCCTTATTGGGGGCGCTACATTTCATACTACATGTACATGTACTCAACTAGTAGATCTCCCTAATAGAAGCACATGATACTCAGCGGTTGTTGGTGAGCTTCAGGTTGATTCGGGGCTTTGCCAAGTCTTTACTATGCGTATTTCATAGTGGTACAGTCATGGATTCCAGTAGAGGCTTTGTAGACATTGTAAAGCTATCATCTGAATTAATAGTTTCACTTGTCACATGTATCGGTTCAGCTAGTCAACATGTGTTGTATATGAAACTTCTCATTAGTAAATATATTTGCATAGTAGTAGTTTAATTTCTCATCATAGGTGACTTGTAACGCATGTATTCATATGGTACTTGTCCACCTCACCTAGGGTTGGAGTGTGACACATGGGTAGTCACCTCTTGCCTTACATAAAGGATCATAGGTAATCGCCTCCATGTCCATCATCATATAACACGGGTACTCACTTCCATGTCATTTTATAATGAATCATGGGTACTCACCTCTATGTCCTTCATCATAAGACACGGGTACTCTCCTTCACATATTTTAATAAGGGGTCATGGATACTCGCTTCCATGCCCAACATCATTACACGATCATGGGTACTCGCCTCCATGTCTAGCTTTAGGGATTAAGGGTAATCACCTTTTATCCTATTTTAAGAAATATAGGGAATCGCCTCATATCCTTCTCATTTAGAGGTCAAGGGTAATCTCCTTTATCCTCATCAATTTCTTAGTCTTTAGTTTAGATTAATTTTAGGTGAGCAATCATTTCAACCTAGAATCATTCAATGTGAGAAAGCCTTTCACATCCATACATAAGCAATTCATGTTGGAACTATCCCTTCCACAACAACTATATTAATAATTAAAAATTCATAACATAAGCTTACTCTCAAAGCACTACATCTCATAATCATCATATATGCTTCAATCTCAAATCAGTTCATAATGTATCTTATTCATCCTACAAGAATACATCTAAATCCACAATTTCCTCTTTCATGGATCAAAACCAATATACATCAATTTCAACTTAGAAACATGGTTTAAGCATGGATAGATGTAAATTCATCCTAAAAACATGTAATTCTATCAACTTATGCATAAAAAATCATAACCCAATCATTTGGATCAACATTTATCAAGACCCAAAACATTATAAGAAAACCGTAACTCAATTTGGGGAATTTCTACTTTTTAATCGGGAATATTGGG